AGTGTCTAAAGTATAAAAGGATTAAAGCTCTCCCGGCGTTGATCAATCCCTGAGGGATGCGCCATGCATTCAACTTCAATTTCTAACTTCGTTTTGAGGTGATTGAATGCATAATCTGTCCTTTACAATGACTCGCGGTGGCCCCTCCCGCTGAACCGAGTCAGTGTTGCTTATCACTCCCAGATAAGTCTGAGACCTGTCATGGTACCAATTTACCGACCCTGGAGGGCATGAATGGCCTTGGTGAGCCAAGAGCGCGAGATCGAACCACTGACCTCGTGTGCGACGCAGGGCAACCTCTAACCACTGCGCCACATGCGCTCTGTCTAAAGTATATATAATATATATATATATATATAATATATATATATATATATATATATATATATATATATATATATATATATAGTACCGGCCCTGTTCCATGATTCTTTCACATCGTTGTGTATTATTTATACATACAAACGTATTGGGTTATCTCATAACTTCTTTATCACTATTGATGTCTCATAATTTTCTTACTAATACCTACCAGAATTGCAGAGAGCAAAGACGGGAACATTTGGAATGCCTTTGAGAGCTACAATTTTCTTATTTATCACTTTATCAGATCTCTAACCATGTTTCCGAACTTGATCCAAAAATTCAAAAATTTATTTTTCCAAGTAATCGAAAGTGTCAAATAACATAAATTGAAGTATTCCCTGTCTTTCTGGATGCAATTCTGCCCACGCTCCGGCAACACTCTAATCCGCCCTCTTAAAGCTCATCATTCCTCGATGCAAACCAATCAGTCAAAACTCGACTCAAATGACTGATGTCTCGAAACTTCTTCTTGTTCAGCTTGATCTTGGTTTACCGGCCAAATCAGTATCTCCATTGCGAAACTTTGTAAACTATTCATACGCCGTAGTTCTATCCACAACTTGGTCGGTTTTTTCACACGATCGATGTTGTGAAATGCAGTTTGAAAATTGTGCCCCAATGAAACGAGTGAAACAGTAAGTTGCGAATGACTTATTGTGACGGCTACATTGCTGGACAACTTTGAAAAATATACCAAACGATGCGCAAGAAAGCTCTGCAGAAATCAGTGAGAGAATTATTGTTTCTGTAGAAAAATTTTAATTTCTTGGATCATGTTCCGGAAACTTAGTTAGAGGCACAATAAGATCTCTCGTGGGATATGCCGCACTCAATAGAAAATCAGACGACTTTTATTCCCCTTTATTCTCCTTTCTACTTTGCGTTTCTCTCAGCGGATATGGAACAATTTTTTTGGCACTTGAAACTTGTTCCTAATAGTTAAATAGCCTTAAATTTGTAACGAATACCGAGGCTTGTCGATACTTTCATCTTGCAATCCGTTTCCACCTAGTTTCTTCATGGTTAGCAGTAAAGATAGGCGTATTTCCTTCAGTTATATGCAAAACAAAAGTCTTTTTGTGATTTTCTACTTATAACTCTCTCAGTCAATTTGAGGGAAACAGTGAATCTCATTCATGATATTGTGTACTTGAATGTAATTTCTGTATTGCTCTGACCAATAAACACCAATGTGATTTACAAGTTTTTTTGTTGATCTAGTGCTATAACATGAACTAAAGTTTGTCTAAAACAGATCCCGGTTAACTTTCAGTTTCCGCCGACACTGGCCCTTTCTGAGAAGAAATGCGATCGAAACGGACTTGATGCCTACATTCGAATCGCTCTGTTAACTGCATTTGCCACATCATTCTCGAGCAATTCGCTATGAGGATGTTTGTGGTCTATCTCGTTTTTTTTTTCGACTACAAACCAATCTTGAATAAAGGGGCAAATCACTCAGGCTGAAAAAGTTCTGGAACTGTTAAAATTGTGCTGTTAACAGGCGTTGTTTGCACACTCGCGTCCATTGGACATTTCTTTGTACTCCTAGCATCCATATTCATGCAAATGTAAAGACTCTCTACCAGCTAGTAAAAATTTTTTTCTCCAAGTCTTCGATGTTCGCGAACACAAAGGTCATAATGCACTCCTACCAGATGTTGTGATCTCAGTCATTTTGAGTCAACTTAACCTTACTATTAACTAGCAACCAATGAGCTGCCAATTAGCCGTTACTAGTTTCTGGACCACCAATTGTTATAGCCACGCCCATACAAATCGCAGCCGATGTGCGATTTTTGTAATTTTGATCAGGGTTTTTCACCGTTTTGAAAAGTACCTCTAGGTTTTTTTTTTAAAGTTCGATACTTCATGAATTTCTCTACACACACGTATGCTTTTGGTGCACATATAATGTCTATGTTTGATTAAAAAGCTCTATTTACAGCGCGATCACAACCATGCTGGCATTCTATCAATTGTGATAGCTTATTCAAAAAATTTATACGACATCAAACTATAATTTATTTGGCCACTTTTGCGGTGGCAAGATTCTATAGATACACCTGATGATGTAAAGTGATGTGCAAATCTTTCCCGTCAGGCGGTACTCGAACCCACATCTCACTCTATCCTGGAGCGCGTGCTCTAACCCATTGCACTACTGATGCCCAATTTCACACACCACTCTTTCTACGCTATAAATAATAATACAATAATTAAAATGCATCAATTGTGATAAATTTTATTATATACAGCATTTGAAAGTTGTAATATTGATTGTAAACCGGAAAACAATGAATATCTTGTCAAAAAAAAAGGTGTTTCCGATAATGAAAGGTAAAAAACCCTTTTGGGATCGAGCTTTCTTCAGTTTTTCCTCTAAAGTTTTAGTATTCATTCGAAATCTTTGATTTTGATGATTACGACTCCTAATGGCTTTTTGAAAAAAAAATTTGCATTTTACAGCGGAAACGAAGTTGTGTTTCAAATTCGGTTTTCTTTATTCGCTTGGTCGTGGGCTGCGAATGCCTTTGCATTCAAAGTTCAGCAGCCTTCTCAATAGTATTAACTAATGCCATTCTAAGTTAATTTTTTGTTGGAAGAGAGTTTTTACAAGATGTTGTGAGTCTCAAAAAGAGTTTACGTTTCCGCTCACAGAGCCTTCTTCGCAGATAAGACATATATATGCATCAAAATCATATGATCATATAGAGGATATCGTATTGAATTAGATTATCGAAATAAATATTGACATCTTCTTGCGACAAAGTAATATTTCTAGATAAATTGAGAATCGTGTACAATCTGATGGCGCTGGGTGCAGAGATTTCATTGCCGCCCCGAAAGGACCCTCCTATTGTCATTTTATCGGCAAATTTTTCTTCGTCGCAGAAAAATTTTGAAGTCTGACGTAACGCACGAAGCAACGAAAGGCACAGATATGGGATGAAGTTGCTCAGACTGTGCACCTTAGGAGGATACCGTACAACACTTTACCATACGCAGGTTACAGGCACAACTCCCATGCGCTGGACGAATCTCAGAAAGTATTGTGATGACCTATGGATGGTTTACTAGATGAGGGCCGACACCTCTACACCATTATGGGTATACTAGTGTTGAACTTGCCAAGGGCCTGTTGCAGAGAAACGCACTTGATCGGGACGCCCCAAAGAATAGGCGAGGATTACCTAATGAATTGATGCAACGCCAACTGGAGAAGGGGCACGCATTAGCCGTACAGAGGAAGAAAAGCGCAAATGGTGCTCAGACGGAATTACAAGAGAGATGTTGTGATAAGTTCCACAGCGCACGGTTACAGCATCGATCCAACGACGAGGAAAATATGAGTTCCCGTATAGTTACAATAAGCAAAAGTTGCTTGAGGGATTTCACCGACCAAATTGCTGTTTATCTTGTTCATACATTAGGATCACATGTAAATGGGAGTGTACTTCGCTGCGCTATTGCTTTGCAAAATCTAATTTCAGAGTTTAAGTACATGCGCCTTTGTTCCACCTGATGGCGCATATGTGCCTCATGAAGGCGTGAAAATCTACAAAGACCACGTGAGAAAAATTTCGTTCACCAATTTCAAGCGGAGAGTTTATCTCAAATACTTACAGATCACATCGCTCAAGCAGGCCGGCGTTCAGGCGTATTCGGGAAGTCACTTTACCATTCGTGGACGTTTGTGATTATCTCGAATGGAACTGGCATTACGTGTAAGTACTCCCTTCTGCTCGAGGCAAACTAAACGAATAAGCACGACGTGCAGTCGATTTAAAGTCGGAGATGTTCTTAGGCTTTATATGCGTCGACAAACTGTAAATTTAGCCGAAAATCATTGTGTAGTATGTAGACAATAATAAAGTGAGAGCTGATTATTCTAGTGTTTGATGTCTATTGTCTTAGAACGCATGAATTGTCGAGTGTAACATTCAAAATTTCTATACAACGCGGGTAAAAGTTGACCGGTACCTGTATTTAGGTAAACTGCTAATGATGGATGCTTGTTCTATAAATATTGCTTACTGAATAAATATTTTGAACAAAAAGATTGACGATATCATTGTTAAGTTCGAAATATTTGGATCTGAAATATCCAAGTTCTCCAAAGAAATGCACTACAATTGAATGATTGTGGGATCTATGAAGGCTTCTTACGACTACCTATGAAGATAACACCATAGGAAGGTTCTTGAAAAAGTTATACATCGAAAGGAAATATGTTTTTGTAATTAGCTCTTTGCATATTGTCAGAAAATGAAGAACTAAGAATGGAGTCCGTTGTTCCCCATTTGTGTGTCCCTTTCGTCTTGAAAGTGGAACTTTTTAAGACACGTTGAGAGTTCATTTCACTAAAAAAGTTTTCTTGCAGAAAGTGCTTTTAGTAAAATATCATTTTTTCTGTATCAAAGTTGCATTCAGCGTACGAACTCACTATTCAATTTGCCATACACCACTGTGAAGTTCAAGCGACAGGGTGTTCCCCTCCAGCGCGTAAAACGCGATCTGCTGTAGTGCGCCTAAAAAATCTGTTAAAAAAAGAGCAAAACTGAACTTGGAATCTACACTTTTCTCTACTGTCGAACGATTCCACATAATGTGGAGTGCTGTGCAAAAGCATTTGCGTTCAGCCGGGATTTGAACCAAGATCTCACTGCTACTAGGAGCGTATGCTAACCGATTGCACCACCAACGCTCGCTTTGCACAGCACTTTTATTTACGCTATACGCGTCGTCTGCCAACAGCCAACCGTCGACGGTCTGGCGGGGCAGCCGTTATCGGCATTGAACCCAGTTGTGTTGACAGATATTGGATATCGATAATCACTCCGAATTCTTTTCTGATTTTGACTGCCACTTGCAGAGGTATGATGTTTGGTAGTACACCCAATAATGTGGAGTGCTTTCAAGGTTATTATAGCCCTTCAACGATTCAACGAGCAAACAAATGGCATAAATGTCATGACTCAATAAGCTTGTTTGCCAACGACTCTATCTGACCGGGAAAGGGCACTGCTTTCGTTGACAGAATAAGTGGTTTCATGTCCATTATAAGGCGACAAATTGAATAAGCGACTCCAATATCCACGCAAAAACTTTTCGTGGGAGTGCCAATAATCCACGCGCAAGCTTAAAATCTTTGGCTAGTGCGGTACCTGGCCTTTTCTAACGCGTAAGTGAGTAAGTCCATACGAGAAGGTCTTCCTTAAACCAAAGAATCATCCAGTGTGACCTGCTCATCACCGCATTGTTGGTTTTTTCATTTAACTTGGGTTTTCATGCATTCCTATCTTCCTCTCCTGTTTCGTTGAGTCCCTTGAGCATGATCTACTTCATTAATGCTTTTTGAGATGACAACGAAAATATTTTGCGAAAACGAACTTTTCACAGGATTTTTTCATCGATGTATATGCCCTTCTCGTCCCATTCAGGCACCTTCATTATCCATTATAGTGCGGCGACGAACAGGCTTGAGCGATATCGTATCGCCTGTCAAAACTCCTTTAGAATGATTATTGTAAGAGGTCTATAAAAGAGCTGTGCGGTAATGTAGGGACGGATCCACTCCTCGATGACAAGAGATGAGAGTTACTGCGTTCCTATCGACGCTATCAAAGTTTTTTAATGGTCGATAAAAGTTTTAGCATTAAGTGGCAGGTGGTATTTCCGAGATGTTTCCTATGCCCCTCGGCACTGTTTCGGTTGTGGTTCATGGCAGAAAAATCCGTGTCACAGTCCTCCTTTCGGAAACTGATTGTCCCACGTCCAAAGTTCTTATTATGCACAAAGGGACGATCTTTTCTAAGAAACTTGTATATGCATAGCAGCAAATGGACTATAGCTACACGATCCCTTCTGCTGTCCTTTTTCATGTATGACGACTGTGCGCAATATTTGTCACTGGTTCTATGATTTTTCCAATTGAAGGTGAGATGCCATATGTACCGTGAGAAGTTACATGTAAATCATGGGCTTCGTAGCTCGTGGAAAGTCGGCAGTGATGTTATCGGATCTTGGAGGTATACCCTTTTTTTCAGGATCACTATGGCGATTCGATCTTCAGAGGACAGAAATCCATGACAGTTTTTTCTTCAGTGGGGACTACACGGCGAGATGGGGATGATGGGGCAGAAAAGATTGATAGAGAATTTTTTTTCATTATCAGTTTCATATCATGGCAGAAAATTTTTTTGTGATCCCATCTTCGTTCATCAGCGCTGGTCCAGCAAAACATTCTGATTGAAACCATTCTGTGCCGCATCCACCAGTTTTATTCTGCCTGTATTCGGTGTTAGATCCCTCTTGCAAGCTCGTTTGCATCTGTTGTTCGGTAATAACTGTGGCCAAAATGTGTTGCATTAAGATTAAGATGCACTTCTCCTCGTTTTGTAGCAAACTCCTTTGTGTCAGCTTCTTTTGGATTGGGTACCTGAAGCCAAGTCGGTACAAATTTTTGAGCTCTTTCGACAAACAAATCAGTATTCTTCGGTTGGATCATGCTCAATCTGTCAGTCATAGGTTAAAAAGGATTTCGCTTAAAAATCTTCGTCGTAACGATTCGACGACTTTGTCTTAGTCGAAAGCTATGAAATTCCTTTTACAGCTTGCACTGACCTGTATCTTTATTTGAAGAAAGAGGTGATCGGACCGGTACAGAATGACGGAGCCAACACGCGAACAAGTCGAACACGAAACACCTTTTCTTCCTTTCTAGAGTGTTAGTGGTCGATTTCCGCATGCATCGTGTTGTGATAAGGGCTTTAATGTTCAGCGGAAACTGTTCTTTCTTCTGAAAAGTGAATTTCCATGGGGAGAGAGGGCGTGCCAGAAAGTATCCAGCGAGACGATTTCCATTTCCATTTCCCTCTCCTAATTTAAATTTTTCAATCCTGTATTTGCTTTCGTTGACCACGTCCCAAATCCTGGCATTAAAGTTCTCCGATAATGATTTCATGATTACGCCTCATCATTGCGGATAACTATTTTCAAATGATGGTAATACGCAACACTTTTCGCGTTCATCGTTCGCTGGTGTAACATTTGATGACAGTAAATTTCCTTATTGCGATTTAACAAAAGCGTTAAATATCGTTCTGAGCGGGTCTTTAAAGAAAGCTGCCAAAAGGTAGGGCCTTATTTGGAGTCGAAGTATAAGCGAGAGTTAAAAGTCTTCAGGTTTGTGGACAGAGATGGATGATGGGGCGAGGGTGGACCGACAATGGCCCAGGCCTCCGACATTTCGTGATGCCCCGTTTCATTGCGAAATCTACGAGCGGTGTCAGTTGCCACAGTTTGGCAAATGTCGGCCTTCCTGGTTTTCAATTTTTGTTGTGGGAGTCCACATGGAATTTTTTGAACGGCATAACTGCTTCAAGAAGTGCTTGAGGAATCGGTGGTCAGTGGAGAGTTTTTTTTGAAATTTATGTAATGAGTATACAAAAGCAATCTCTATGGAGTGTCGTTTGCGTTAGATTAAATAGATAAATAACAAGCGAAATAAGTGACGAAAATGCTAAGGAGATTATGTGGCTTGTCCAATACAAAAGTCATTCTACTGGACAAATTTCTAGCTCTGAAGCAAAAAAGGTCAAGATACAAGACTTGTACCTAGATTCGTTCTAAACAACTGACGTTGTGAAGGATTTCGCTTCTTTCACATTCAGGCCTGAAAAGATCAGATTGCCCACAATTCATTCTACTCAAACACCCTCCATTATCGTTTTATAGCTATTATAAGAGTTCTGTTTCATAAAAAAAAACAGTGAACGAAAAAGGAGGGGTGTTCGAATACACATGATATGTTTTTCTAGAGCCATAATTATTTCATTTCAATTGAAAAATCGAATACCAAGACTTTCCCTCAATAGGTTGACTTTTTCGATGCGCTTTCGAAATGATCTCTATGAAATTAGAAAGTATTGAGTGGAATGACAAAATATGGTTATAAGATGGGAAATATCCAGTCTTTTTCTGACGAAGTCGACATTGCCCGGACCCGCGTGAGACAGTTCAGTTTCTTTCCCTTGAAAAAGTTACGTCAATCTAGTGAGGTTCAATCAAAGAACATTCTGTATGTTACTCTCAAGGTCTTCCATTCTCACTTTAGCCTTCTTGCCAAATTGCGACAGTGTGTTCATTTACACAAGCTTTACGATTATGAGATGAAAATCGTTAGATTGGGACATTCGGAAGATAATACGTCTTTGATAAGTTTTTCCCACTGATTATAGAACGATTTTAGTCACTAAAATCGGTTACACACAATGAATAGAAATGAAACATGTTGATCTTGTTTTATACATGCGCCCAAGGTGTTTCGACGTACTGCGTAACGGCTGGCCGTATAGCAAATCTTCTGCCATGTAGATTTACTCTCCTAAAGTCTTTTTTATTCACGATCGAACAGTAGTGCTTTCGGTCAAGTAAGCATATTGGAAGGCTGGTTAGAGCAGTCACAGTAACGCCTTTCATAACACGTTTGCTACTGTTTCGAGATCTCGTGCAGGGCGCACTAAACCCCTCATTTCTGCACGGTCAGAAAAGTGATACCATACTTGTCTGTGCACACTTCACTACTGTGAATCGATGCGGGTTGCTCTAGCACAAGTATCTCAGGACTCGAGGGAGAAGCAACTTGGTTAGCATTCAACGACAGTCTGTACAAAAATAACAATCCTTAGGCATAAACCTACCCCTACGCGTGTCATCATGGTGACAACCACAGTTTCGCCTTATGCCTCTGAAACCATGTTTTCCCATCCTATCATGCCATCACTAGAGCAGACTAATGGAGAATGTGACTCTAATGAGGCGTTACCGCCGAAGCGTGCGTAAGTCACTGACGTACCGACCTCGAAAAGGCTCAAAACACTCTCGCAGCCTACATCAAAAATTACTAATGTTAAACACGAAAAATGTATGCTTCTAGAAAAATAGGCCAATCATTCTTCGTCTTCTTATTGTTGGATTCTCATATTACATTTGTGCACACCCGCATTTCGCTAATTAAAGGTGGATGAAAAAGCTTGCGTCCATTGAGGAGCCATCGAATGAAATGACTGTGCTCAGTAAGTTGTTGGACGCTTTTAGGTGTTCCTACGAGTTTCATAAATAAAGTTAAAAGGTTCCTACAAGTTTATAAGTGATTCCACTAGGCTGTTGTGTAATCATTCCAAAGTCTAAATCATTGCGAAACTATGATCATGATCTTCATTGATCATCACATTGTATTAGGTCTTCCATAAGTTTTGGCACTAGAGAAATGAACACCAAATTTATTAGTGAGAAGTTAATTTCACTAGAGTGTTGGCATTCATTCAAAATCATAAATCACTGTAAATTTAGATAAGTACTTGTTTTCCTGAGAGATCTCTTTGTGGGGCCCTAGCATCAAGTAAAATTATATATCACAAGCACCGTGTGCTTTTATCGATGATAAAATGCACGACGTGCGTAAGAAGCATGATCTTAATTTGGAGTGTAACAGCCCCGTAAAAAGGCATTAAGAAAAACCAAGTGCAATAATGGAAAAATTATGTTCAACACGGCGCGTGTCAGCTATTTTCGTGCAACGCAAAACAGGCACAGAGAACAAGTGGATGTCAAATTTGTATTGAAGACAACATTTGTAAAGTCACTTTACTTGATAAGAAATTCCAGAAAATCTACCATTTCCTCAAATGGCACTCCCTAATT